TCAAATTTTCATATAGGAGTTTAGAAAACGACAATCTATATGTATCTGTATAGGTTGCAAATGATATGGAAAATCGTGTGTTTTTACTATTTACGATAATGATATAGGGCTCCTAAGATAATGATTGCTTACTGGAATGTATTCTGAAACACTTGACCTTGAGATAATTTTGGAATAAGATACTGTTTCTGAGCCTCAAGTTGTCTACAAATGCGATGTGTAATCTACCGATTTTAGAAAGTGACTTGACTTTGAACTGGCCTCAAAGGTCAATTTTACGGTCAAATCCAAGGTCAGGTTCATTTTACTATGAAAGAAATACTTCCAGCAGGAATACTCGTTATGGGACGTCCTGTATTCTGCATTCCGTAGCGTCTTTCATATTTTATCGAATAGCAAGGCATCAAAATGTATAAAAATGGTTCAATCCTACAAAACCTTGAAATGTTGCCGTGATGTTGTAGGGAATTTGAATTATTTGCAATATATTTTCTTAATAGCTATATCACTATCCCTTTATATGTCAAAACGCTTCAGCAATGCGGGGTGTGAATAAAGTGTCTCGATAAGCTTTGCAAATTTATTCCTTGTGTCAGTCTGACAGTCCAGGAAGTCCAGTGAAAAATATTCTGATAAGGTTTTTTGCATAATCTTAAGGCGTTTTTCTTAAAAGGTTAATTATTCTGGTTAAGCAATGAGTTTTCGTAAGATTTGTTAAAAGTTGTGCGACGAATACTCAGACTATTCGCCTTATTGAAGAAAAAATGTATTTGGAAAACAAAGTACCACAAGACCGTGAATTTATCTAAATATAATAACCCAAGTAAAGCTAGGCCAGGTACTTTACTAACTCGCTGCATATAATGTGCTGCTATTAAGTTTATCATCGTCATTTTTCTTCCTAAGATTAAGTTCTGAAGTGTTTTGTCTTGTTGTGACTGTAAGTGCCACTTAACAACACATGAATATGTGAACAAAGTCAATTCAAATAATTCAAATTTTTCTGTATCTTCTTCGTGATATCTTGATTTTGTGTGTGACTTTTAATATGTAAGTGATAAACTATGTAATCGATATATATTATGATATACTGTATAATAAATATTATAATAGACTATAAATTTTATAATTTTGGCTGTTTCTTATGGATCCCGATGTTGTCTCATTATTTTCTAAGTAACTAGGGAAAAAGATTTACGAGAGCCAAGCTTTTTTACTCTTCCCTCAAAAACATTAAGAGTGAGAGAGAGGACTGTCGTGAAAAAAAAGAGTTGAAAAGCTAGGATTATGTAGACGAAAAAGTAGTCAATGGGAATGGATAGTAAATATCTAACTTGATTTTCATCGGTCTTCATAACTAATTGAAATAATCTGTAATCTGGCGTATTTTCATACGGCAATTGATTTTTATAAAATGTGAATATCTGAGAAGCCTTTGAAATAAATTCGATGCCTTTGTTATACTGGGATGATTTTTTTTTAATTTGCAAGAAGTAATCAACTAATATTTTGCAAAATATTCAGTATTGCATTATAGAGGATGATTAATTGATTGATAACGTCTTTCGCTGAAAGAATATCGTGGTGTGTAGTCTGGTTCAACAAAATGTGCTTTTATTGTAAAATAATGTTTCTTAACGGGGCTCAAAACAATCACGAGCACCATCTGCTGAGGTAACGGGGGGTGAAAAGGAAACGATTGTGGGCTGGTCTTAGACGGTGGTGGGCGCTACTTTAAAAGAGGAAAGGATGACTGCGGGTGCATACCCAGGTAAATTTTTATAATAACAGAGTCGGATTTCGATTAGCGATCTAGCCTATAAATCGTTTCCTATTTTGGTACTCAGCTAGCGATCATTAGTATTGTTCTACCCTTGTTACTGTTCGTCGATACTGTGTTGTTGAATTGTTGTGTTGTACTCTGTTGGTGTGATTGTTCTTGAGTGAATTTTTTATCAAGGTTGATAATGGACAATAAAAGGTCATATGCGACAATTTTAATTACGAATTCAGTGAGTTTAATTCATGATGAGGACAACAATAGTGTGGAGCAGTTCAACTCTATAATCGCAAAATACATTGGGGTAAGCGAATAAATTATTGCAAGAAGAGGTCATATCATGGAAGATACCTATGTTGCAGCTGTAGTGAGCCACAATACCGAGCGGCCTGTCTATGTGGTCCAAATACATTTGCGTTCTAAGCTTAGTCAATTACAATACTTCCTCGCCAATGACGTGGGATGTAAAACGGTTTTAATATCGAGGAGTATCAGCGATCGCGATTACGAGTACCTATTTGCAGAACGACTTATCTACGCGATATTATATGAAATAGGGCCACCAAATTATCTGAATACGTCCAATCTTAGTCCGTACATTGCGCCGCAACGCTTGGTTTGGCAGCACAAAACAGTAGACAAAATTCGTCCAAAATACGATTTGTAGAGGTTTGCGCGCTTCAAAATTGACGCTTTATCTTTTGATATTTTTGGATGAAATTTTCACAGAGTGCTGAAAACAAAACCTCACAGGGTGCTATATAGCCACTTTTTCATTTTTTTCATTAGGTTCTTTTTAAAAAAAAGTGCACTTCAACCCATCATAAAACCTGTGCAAAAACAAAATTTGAAAAAGTGCTCCTATAGCACCCTGGGCAATTATCTTCTCAACATACTGTATGAATTTCATTCAAAAATGTTGAAAAACGGAGTGTCAGTTTTGAAGCAATTGAACCCTTGTAAATGGCTTGAAACTCACTGCATCGGAGCCGCCTTAATACCACCTCATTTTGCTGTATATCTTGAATACTCCCATTGAACTTCATCACAAATTCCTTAACTAATGAATGTTCCATTTTCAGCTAGTTTTGAATATTATTTTGATTTTCTTGAAAATGAGTCCAAATTCAGTTCTTCTTCTTCTTCTTCTTATATAAAAGGGACAGATCGTGTTAATGCACAACAGTGTGTTTTGCCTTTTCTAGTCTAGCTGTGCATAAGTTTATTGGCAAAATTCCTAGATTATTCGTTATATTTATTATTCCTGCTCCATATCGGGAAAAGCTGAAAAATCTGGAATATTTGAAAACTTGAACTGATTCGTTTTCTTCCTGGTCGTTTTGAGATTGTATAAAAGTACATTTCTGGAAGAATTAGGATGGATAGGATTTGCCTCAGCACATATTAAATTCCTATCTCTATGGACTATTATTTGTTCTTGCTTATACCCACTTTTAGTTTCCTCTTGTTTTTGCTTATTCTTCATTTTCATCCTAAAGTCGCAAATACTCGTATATATGAATCTAGGTAATAACTATTGTCTGTGAAATTCTGGTATCACACTCTGTACGTCGAATCATGTTTGACTGGTTTGATTGGCTAGTGCTCATATCGGTTTGGTTATCTAGTAGGTGGTCTTAGTTGTAAATTTTTTACTCAATCAGAATCAGATTCGCTCCCTGAATCTCTAAAAGGCTCGTGTTTGTTTTTAACTCTGAAAGACATTCCTACTTACAGTGGTAATCCAATCCGCCCCATGTGTCTGTAAGTCTCAGTTATTGACGAGAACTTTATCCTCAAGATGCTCCTTCTGTCCTTGTGGTCTGCGATGACCAACAAACCTGGATAGACTGTAGTCTTTTACTTTCGTTAACCAGGTAATCTCGTTGATACGATATCAAAAAATATCCCACTTACCGACTGGCTGATAACTTGGCCTCTGAGCCACTTCAGTAAGTAGTAAGTTTTAAAATTCTTCTATTTGAGAAAATCAAGTACAGAGAGTTGTTCATGGATGGAGCCCTGAATCGCGACCATATGAAAAGTGCATTATACAATGCAAGGGAAAGAACAAATAAAATATAACGCTTAAACTGACAAGAAACGTTCGCGAAGCCTGAAGTACTGATTCGACTTCTTCTTTTCCAACTTCTTATTTCCCTTCTTTTTATTTTCCTTATTCTTCTTTTTCTTCTTCTTATGTCTCTTCCTCTTATAGTTGTTCTTCTTTTCCTTCTTCTTCTTCTCCTCATACTTCTTCTTCTATTCCTTTTTCTTCTTCTTCTTTGTAGATTGGCACACAACTGGCCTGTAGTCGCATCAGCTAAATGAAGAAACGAGCCCTTATCACGTTGATCGATAATGTATATGTATATGTCATATGACTTCACTTAGCGGCCATGATATGAAATAATTTGATCGAATAATAAGAATTTTGGATAGTACACTCAAGTCCGGCAATGTTGCCGTGAGGCAGCACTACCAAATTCTAGGGAAATTATCCTAATAATACGTGCTGAATACGGTCCTGTTCGAGTTTGTCTTACAAGAGGCATCTATCGCGGTGCATGCGAACCAGTCTTGTGGCGAAATAATCTTGTAAAGGGATACTACAGTAAAGTGGAGAATGGAATCTGGAGTTTGTGTATAGTTGCAAATTTAGTCGCTAGATGGCACCCGATCCATGATTTTGTATTAAATGTTTTGAAATGGGCCCTGATCGATATGAGGATTTATAGTAGGAGAACTAGCGAAAAGAGAACAAGCGACCTCCAAACTGATTGAGAGAGCAGAGTATCTGGGGTAATAGTACAAGATTCGGCCGCTATGATTAATAAATAAATAAAAGTACCAGTGGTGTCAAGTTTCGGGGTTGTTTTTACAGCACGAACAGCATCTGAAGGATTTCTTTAAAAAATTGCAAGTACAAGGATACCCTTTGTTTTATGAATAGGGCTCCATGTAAGCACTTGAACAGTCGATATCAAAATCATCGTTAGAATCGGAACTTTTTTATATCCTGGGATTCTTAATTCTGATTGTAATGGTCTTTAGGAAGGAAGCACTTGATCAAAATAATGAAAAAATCCAAATAACAATAAACAGTAACGTTTACCGTGCACACGCCGGATACGGATGCTCCAACACAATTACAGGGAACAATTGACAAAAAGAAAGGCATCTAAAATTGGTGAAAGATAAGGAACAAGTGGATTGATACGATCATCAATCGATAGCGTCAGTCACGTAGCTATTAAATATGGAAAATTCGTATCCTTGGATCCTATTTGGTCGCGGTCTTGAACCGACGCGAAGTGACTTGTGCTCCGGAATTCCTTCGTGACGTCATGCCAGTCGTGACCTGTTGAAACAGTTTTTCAGTTCCGGTAGATTCTTTCAAGGGAGATCATCAGGAGATAAGTAAGTGAAAGATGGAGTTACTTCGTTACGACGATTTTTTGGTGTGGTTCAATTTCATCCACACATACCGGTACCAAAAATACGTTTTGGATCAACTTTCAACATCCACAAAGCTTGCTTGACCTTGGCATAGCAGCAACCTTATTCCAAAGTCTCATAAAAATGTATGCGTGCCTTCTGCGCTAGAAAGGGATCAAGATTATCAGACCCCGATGGAAAACTAGCTGCTTTTCGCGATGAGTAATTATGACATGTAACATCAATAAAAGAGAATATCATATATGCAGGCATTAGGTAGGATTTACGTCTCTAAGAACCCTCTTGGTCTTAAACTAAACATAATTTCGAAAAAAAGACATCCAACCATGGACTGATTGGTCTCTTGTCTCTGGAGGAATGCATGAAAGCATCACAACTATCCACTATACAGGGTTATCCAAATTAAGTGTCCACCATTAGTAACTTTGTTATTAGTGAAAATACAAAGTTGTTTGAATTAGCAAACTAGTAGCATTTTTAACGCTGGTAAAAATGAGAAATAAAAAAAAACAATTGAGAGTCGTTATTTTGATTTTTTTCAGTAAAATAACATTTTTTTAAATGGAAACCCCTATATATTATATTTTTTTCTGTTAAAGCATCAAATTTTAAACAAAAAAGCTTACAATAACTTTTCTCCTAGGTTACAAATTGTTGAAGCTATGGCCTCCAATCTGAAACAATTAAATTGTATCGACAAACTTTATTTTCAACATCAACTTATAATCTTACAAAATACAATAACAATTTTTTTTAAAGAAGATGCTCGAAAACACCACCTTGTTCTTCAATACATTTTTGGGCACGTTTTTCAACTGCTCGAACTGTCTTAAGTATGGTTCTACCATCTATCTGGGTTATCTTTTCCCTAACTGCAGTCTTTAACGCGTCAAGGTTATCGTACCTTCGCTTGTAAATTTGGTTCTTTAAGTAACCCCACAAGAAGTAATCAAGTGGGTTTAGATCTGGTGATCTGGGAGGCCACTGTATTGGGCCATTTGTTCCTATCCACTGATCATTAAAAGTAGTACTTAGAAAATGATAAGTACCTCTGGAGTTGTGGGCAGGTGCGCCATCTTGCTGAAAATGCAGATGATGTCTACTTATAAGATCCAATTCGTCTAAGAAATTAGTCAGAATTTCTGACATAAATTCCACATATCTTTCACCAGTTAGGGTTCCCTCATAAAAGAACGGGCCAACAATTTTTGAACCAATTATACCACACCAAACGTTGAAACTGAAACGGACTTGTGGGCCTCTTGGATGTACTAACAAAAGATTTTCTCTTGACCAATAATGGTGGTTTTTTCTATTAAACATTCCAGAATTTGAAAAATTTGATTCATCTGTCCATAAAAGGTAACGAAAGTTATTTACATTTTGGCGACAGAAGCTAAGATACCAATGGCAAAAAACAAGTCTTCTCTCTGGATCCCCTGCCAAAAGCGTTTGAACTGGTCGGTACTTATACGGAATAAATTTGTATTTTTTTAAAATCCTTTGAACAGTACCATAACTGAAATTAGAGTCCTTGAGAATATCTGCTATTGAATTCTCACGATAAGCTTCAAAATATCCAATAACTACAATTTCCGTGGCCTCGCTTATTATGAATTCTTTTTTTGCCCTTGTTTTAGCAAAAACATTTTCGTTGCCCCTAAATTTTCGATAAAGTCTCAGAAAATATCGTTCATACGGTTGAATGCGAGCGGGATATAATTCACTGTAGATTCTCTTGCTCTCAAGGAGGATTTTCTGCACACTAAATAGCATTCTAACATATCACACTTTTCTTCATGGGAGAACATTTTTCTTTAAATTAATGACACAATAAAGCTTATAAACAAGTATTTACACTAATGTTTGACATTATTTGATTTTATCATTGTTTTCCAAAGCCTTCTAGTTGCGAGTATGTCCAGTTTAACAATTTGTCGCTTATCTTAATGCTGTCAAATCGCGAACGCCATGTTGTTTTCATAGCCGTCTTAATATTATAATACTGCAAATAATTAAAAATATTTATCGTTATTTTGACTTTATTTTTGACTTTAGCGGAAAAGTCATTATGAACTTTTTTGTTTAAAATTTGATGCTTTAACAGAAAAAAATATAATATACAGGGGTTTCCATTTAAAAAAATGTTATTTTACTGAAAAAAATCAAAATAACGACTCTCAATTGTTTTTTTTTATTTCTCATTTTTACCAGCGTTAAAAATGCTACTAGTTTGCTAATTTAAACAACTTTGTATTTTTACTAATAACAAAGTTACCAATGGTGGACACTTAATTTGGATAACCCTGTATAGCCCTTCACAGCTGCCCAGTGGGGTGCCCTACCCTATGAGGCTTTTGTTTGAATTTATATACTAACATCCTCTAATTTTTTTCTATTCGTCTCTAAAAACTCAAAAAAATGATCAAACGAACTTACCTGTAAGTGATGTTCGATCTTAGTTATGTGAAGTCCTCGTCGAAGTATATATTTAGAATACACAACGTAGTACCCTCGTAGCTCACCAAACTCGCGATTTCAAAGCGCGCACGCAGCGAAGGACAGCGGCACCGCGCGCCCCCTATCTTCCTCCTCTCTGGCTGTCTATAAACACTCATTTTCTTCAGAGCCAAGTTGTTGCAACAATTGGGTGATGCATAGGGAGAGAGGGAGCTATTTGCGAGGACGAGAACTTCACTTACAGGTAACATCGTTTGATCATGTAATGTTCCGTCCTCGTCGAAGTAAATATTAAGAATACATAACGTAGATGTTAAAAGCTAGTTACAACATACTACTAACGCTCTGCAATAGTAAACGATCGTTTGTACACAACTACACAAATTGTACGCAATGTATGTGTCAACTGGATGTACATTCCCCCAAATTAGGGTTTTTAGCAACAGGTAATATGACTTTTAAGGTGTGCAGACTTGGTTCACCTCAAATGTCGCTTGAGCAAAGCTATTGTTTGGCATTAGAGATTTGTGACGCGTCTCAGAAAACTCACACCAGCCCGTCGCTTGAGACTACTATAATTTAGCAGGCGCAAAAATAGACGCACTTCATGTACCGTAATCTGTCAATTGTGATCTCTGCTAAATCCGACTTCATCCATCTGGACCACGATGAAGTTACTTTACACTGACAAATAAATAATTTGACTGCACAGATATTTGGGCGTAAAATACGGTAAAACTAAAAGTGGTTGCCACATAAGTAGCATACTCTGACCTGAGGTTAGGGCTAGCAGTGTTGCTGATTCCTCATCCGAATGTCTACAGAGGTTACCAGCAACCCCTTTGGTTGGTTGAGAACAACCACAGTATCTATATTTCGGTTGGCATGACCTCATCCTGTAAATGCCCTTCGAAAACCATCTCATGCCTGCATCGTTAGTAGCATTTTGGGTAAAAAACTGATCTGATATCTCAAAAAATTATACACTATCTTAATCGTCCAAGTTCGTAACAAACTCTTGTCGACGTTGCTCAATCCCTTCTTATATAATATTTCCTGTAAAAAAAAGACTTTGGAACGAACTACTACTACTAGGAGGGTTCTTACCAGCCACTGCAGACTGAACATACTTATCCTTTTCAAGGGTGAAGAGAGATCCAATCTGCCCCATGTGTTAGGAGGACCAGACCGCGTTCCACTTTCTGGGCCGTCCCGTATCGTGAAGTTTCTTGCTCAGCGGAATGGTCACACAGCCTTACCTTCACTAGGAGATCATGAAAGTTCGACAGATTAACCGCTTAACATTTGGAGTAGAGTGTTGGTGCACTCGGGGTCGGCAAAAAGGGCCAAAGGTGGCCTACTTATCTGGCTTCGCCCCCCAACACTACAGCTACTATGCTCCTAGATACTACAAACTATCTCCGCGGTACAGAAAGAGTATGGTACTCATCTTATTCTTATAACCTGACAGTGAAGTACCAAAGCATGGTCCTAAGTATTGAAACGCAAGGTCTTGATATGAAACGTATCTCTCTAGGAGTTCGCAGTGAATCTAAGCATTAGAGTGAAGAATGGTGCTAATCCATTTAGGATACGTAGACCTCCTAGGTTTTCGAAGTTCTTAATCATTTTGGCAATACTTTTTGGATGATCAGACATCTGGTATGGAGTGGAGAGAGATGCTCAATTCAAACAAAATATCCTAGTCTGAAAATACTAAGGGACAACATCGAAAGCTTATGCCAAAGCTATTGAGGTTGCAATTTTCTTATGGAGTTTGGAGTTTCAGCTCCGCACATGGTTGAGGTACTCAATTTGCTTACTTATTTCGTGTGGCTCCGATAACGTAAGCGCCAAAAACCGTGAAAAAGGTTCAGTGGTTTCAGTTTCCAATTCGCTAATAAAAACGTGTCGATATTCTGGATTCCGCTGCTTTTTGCTGCTTTTAAATTTCATTGGAATATCTGAATGATGCAACGGTGTATAAGCACCTGTCGAGTCCACTTGAAAACTCATCGCATTTAGATAAAGTGACAAAATGAAATGATACATATAATTAAGTAAATGTGTTAATGAAGTTTCATAATAAACGGTTTTTATTTTCTTCACTTTTACTCTGAAGTGTACGTTTCCGTTGTCATACCTTGCCAAAAATAGACATGATCATACAGCAGATATTATTTAAAACTTTCTGGGAGAAATCAATGTTGCCAATGGAATACACATTGAAGGGTTAAGTTGACTCTTTTGACGATAAAATCAAGGTTCCGGCATTCTCTATGGATCCTTCATCAGGATTCTGAAAACACAATTGTGATGCTAGCAAAGAATGTAGGACAGATTTAAACTGTCAAACAACTTACCCGTCGTTGAGGTTGCAGCCACAAGGTATTTCAAAACGAACGTGTAATAAGTATAAAAAGAAAAGGACGGAGACATTGGGCTTGTTGATAACGATAGATACCTTCGTTACATGTTAAAAATATCAATACACCCGAACATACTAAAAATTATTGAACATGGGAAGACATTTTAGGGAAAAAATCGAAATGCAGTCTCCAACCTCCTACTTCCGCTACACGTGGAGAGGGGGACGACACGGAAAGATATATATATATATATATATATATATACAGGGTGACTTTGAAGTTGAGTCATTAATTTTCAGATAATGATTGTAGAAGGAAGATAAACCAAAATATGTGTGTAAAAATAAAAAAAAATTAATAAAAAAATGTTACCTTGTTTTATAAAGTATCCTCCCGACAAGTATTTCAGTGCGGACCTGTGCGCCCAAAAGCATGTCACAAAAACTGTTCGAAATGATTTCCGTTTTGCTCGACGCACAGCTGGGCGCGTCTTAGCCATGTCTCTTTACAAGCACGCAATAAAATCACTGGTTGATTTCTGATCACTGTACTCATTTCCTCAATTCGGGCACGTAATTCTTCGCGTGTATTAACCGGTGTTTTATACACTAGAGTTTTTAGCCAACCCCACAAACAAAAGTCTAAAGGATTTAAGTCCGGAGACCTTGGCGGCCAAGGTACAAAACCGCCACGGCCGATCCAACGATTATTAAATTGTCTATTTAAAAATTCACGCACATTTCTTGCATAATGGGGTGGTGCCCCATCTTGTAAAAACCACATGTTTTGTCTAATATTTAAAGGCACATCTTCCAGTAAACCAGGCAAATTGTGTTGCAAGAAATCAAAATAATTTTCACCAGTTAAGCGATTTGGTAATTCAAAAGGCCCCACTAAAATTCCATTAACAATTCCCGCCCACAGGTTGATTGGTTCAAATCGCTGTTGAAAATTGGTTTCCCTTATTTCATGGGGATTTTGAATAGCCCAAACGTGAGAATTACGTGAATTAATAATTCCGTTTCTAGTAAAGAGGGCTTCATCACTCACTAAAATTTGATTTAAAAAATTGTCATCATTTTGATGTTTATTTAAAAGCCAATTGCAAAAGTCAACCCTTTGTTCATGATCTTCCGGTTGTAAGGCCTGCACTTTTTGTATGTGAAACGGATAGAACTGATTTTCACGTAGAGTTTTCCAAGTTTTATATTGACTAATCGCCAATTGAGTTGAAATTTGTCGGGTGCTTACTGTTGGATCATCACTTACTAATTCTAAAATTTGTTCTTCTAGTTCTATTTGATCGTGTGGTCTTGGAGCACCGGCATGATCTCCTCTGTGAGGTCTTAAGTCACCTGATTCACGAGCTCTTTGCACTACATTAACAAAGGCACGAGGGGTTGGTTGCACTCGATTGGGAAACCGATCCGCATAGATCCGTGATGCCTCGGCACCATTTTGTAAAGACTCCCCGTAAATAAGAACCATGTCCACAAGTTCAGCATTTTCGTAAACATGTGCCATTTTTGATTTGAGCCTCGCAACAGACACGACAATTCACTTACGCGTTACCGACTACCGACTGATACTGACTGTATACAACTGAAGAAACTAATTGTAAAAATATCGTTCCAAACTCTTTCGCTTTTTTGTTTCCGATGCGATGAACGGATAAGGCGGATTATATCTGTTGTTGCCAAACACGAGAACATAATATCATTATTGAGACAGGGCGGTACTCAAACTTCCAAAGGGCTATAACTTTGTTACTTTAATTTTACCAGAAAAATGGTAAAGGAAAAAAACATTTCTTTTGATCAGATCTACTCACTGTTAAAATAAATGACTCAACTTCGAAGTCACCCTGTATATATATAACTTGAGACGTGGTCAGTGTCGTCTAGACCAGTTAGGTGAAAAATTAAAGCTTCCGCCTTTTGTTGGGTACTTCGACAAAATTTAAGCAAAGAGGACTCTTTATACTTTTTTTTTACTTTTTTTTTATACTTTTTTATATATATATACTAAGTGACATATAAATCCGAACACCCAGTTTAAATGGTTTTATTTTAATAAAAGTTGGTAAATGTATTTATCTTACTGTAAATAACAAGTGAAAAAATTTTCAGCCTTATCACTTGGACATTCCGGTTTTTATACTGCTTTCTTTTAATTCACTAACGCTCCAAAAATGAATATTTCAGCTGCAGTAAAGAATCAACGTTGGCGGATTTTGGTTCCTGACATCCTTTACGATCGGTTACGATGCCTAGAGTACGGAGACCTGTACGATTTCGTCAACTTAGTGAGTTTGATAGGGGCCGTATAGTGGGACTTCGGGAAGCTGGACTTTCTTTTCGGGCAATTGCAGTTAGAGTGCAAAGAAGTGTAGACACTGTGGTTAGGTGTTGTCAGGCATGGCTTCGAGAAGGCCATACGCAAAGAGCAAGGGGCACTGGACGCCGCCGTAGAACAACAGACCGTGAAGATCGCCGCCTAAGATTATTGGCCTTAAGGGACTGTTTCTCCACTACCAGGTCCACTGCAAATGAATGGTTTGCAGAACACGGAAGACCTATTGGCATGCGAAGTGTTTACCGACGAATGAGAAGTTTTGGCTTGTTTTCATACCGGCCACACTGGGTCCTCCCTTTAACTCGAGAACACCGACGTAATCGCCTTGAGTGGTGCAGACAACGGTCACTCTGGGATCAGGAATGGAACAGTATTGTCTTTAGTGACGAGTCTCGATTTTGTTTAGGCATGCACGATGGTCGTGCCAGGGTTAGAAGGCGACGTGGTGAAAGGAGGAATCCACAGTTTTTTGTTGAAAGACATGTTCATCACACTGTTGGAGTTATGGTTTGGGGTGCTATAGCTTATGGTTCCAGGTCACCTTTAATCTTCATCAGAGGTAACATGAACGCGCAGCGTTATATCGACGAAGTTCTAGAACCCCATCTTGACACCATGGCAGATCCAACTTTCCAACAAGATAATGCCCGACCACATGTTGCAAGAGTCACAATAGACTTCTTTCAACATAATGATGTCACATTGTTACCATGGCCACTAAGATCTCCCGACTTATTCCCAATTGAGCACGTGTGGGATATGATGGGTAGGAGATTGCTCAATTTGCAACGTCCTCCTCAGACTCTAGAAGCACTTCGAGAGGAGTTGCTGGTTGCCTGGAATGAGATACCACAGGATTACATTGACCACCTGATCAGAAGCATGCCTAGGCGCGTTGGAGAATGCGTAGCACATCAGGGTGCATCCACACATTATTAAAGGTCAAAAGGCTTTAAAGCAGTGCAATCATTTTGAAATTTTCATCATTTACTTATTATGCTTCATTAAGTACTTATACAAAATTTTATTAAAATAAAACCATTTAAACTGGGTTTTCGGATTTATATGTCACTTAGTATATATATATATATATATATATATATATATATCTGTGCCTTAGAGGTATATAGTTGTAACTCCACATAATGCAATTCAGAGAACAAGCAAATTAAAGATTGAGTTAGTAGCGAATGGCTTTTTGTTCATGTTACTGTTAATATACGAATATAGTTTTTTGGGAAAACATATATGGCACATAGAACAGTAACGCTTCGTGCAAATGTTCTACGTTAAGTAATAAGTGATATCTAACATGGGTCAAAGAATACGTAAATAAGACAAATTAAAGATTCTTATAAAGAGTTTGGACATGTTTAATGTTACCGAAGCTGTTCAAAATGACCTCCATTATCGGTTATGCACAGTGTAGTTCTTAAAATAAAAAATAGTCTAATTTCCATAATCAAATACGACCTATGTTGCTTTACAGCGGAAGATGTTGTTGTTGCTACTGACTTTGCTGATAATCGTGATAGTTCTGTATGGGTACCAAAGCACGAGAAAGCCCAAAAACTTCCCTCCTGGCCCCCGTTGGTGGCCGTTTTTGGGCAGCGCACCACAGGTCCAATTCTTACGCAAGAAAACCGGTCATCTGCTCTTGGCGACTTCAGAGCTAGCTCGCAAGTATGGACCTATCATCGGCCTGAAAGTTGGTGGGGAGCAAATAATTATCGTCCACGGAGCCAAGGTAAGTTGCCAAGATGTGTAGCTTTTTGGAGACATACATCGTCATCTAGTGATTTGGTGTCAGTGTCAAAAGCGGCCGTAATTTCGGCGGAGAAAATCGCATGTGAATTCCCCTAGTACAACGATAAGAGAGGTTTTAGTGCTCAGAAGCAGCCGGTGTTGCCACGTATTCTTTGCAATCGTAAAATGACAATATTATATGACCTAGTGTGGTTTGTGTGAGTCAATAATAAAAAAGGAGCATGTTTGTCCAAAAAGAAGCGACGGGTGACTATTTATAAATGAAAAAGCTTCAAAATAAATTTGTAATGGTGGAAGTATTTACAATAAACGGAAAAATATTTTCTTTTGCTGCGATATAATCGATCCATTGAATTTTCAATGTAAGCAGTACTAAGAACGCTAGACAAATACTATCTTCACTCAATCACATGAATTTCAGTGTCTCGGTCTTGGAAATAACGAGAGCACATGAACATTTAAATGAGAGATGTAAGAAACATTGTGCATCAAGTGAAACTAATCGATTTTTTACGAACATTTCTTTACTCTCCGCACATTTTATCAAATTCGTTTAGAAAATATTTGTCTTGTCGTGTAATTATAAATCATTTTGTGGAGAGCTGCATATTTTCCTAGTAAAGAGCGTATAGTTGCCTACAGTTTTGCTAGGCATTTAAAATGTCCTAGCCGATGAGTCGCCAGAAGTGTCAGGTTTGATTGCGCTGTTTTAACAGTGCTTATTTCGAAAATGGAATGGATATATATATATATATACGGTTAGGAAATTGGCAAATTTTAGCATTTAGTAAATTCTTTTAACGGTAATCTCGAGCTTTCGACAGGCTATGCTTGCATCTTCACGAGCTAAAAATAAAATTAAAAATAGTAAATAGCAAACCGTGCTCAATTGATTAGAATTTAATTATTTACGCCGTCAATGAGATTGGTGCTAGTGTTTGATGTTTTAAATTGTATTTCGGAACACATGCCAAGACGATAAAAACTGGATTTACGCGGATACTTTTTTAAAAACGGTAGAGGACATGATTATGTTTTAAGTTTAAATTCACATCTTGGGCTAACCCAGAATTATTGGTGTGGTCTAGAAGTTACGATTTACATATGTGTGATATACCAACATTTTTTTTTTTGACGTTATATGGTCGTTTTTATGTGATGCCTCAAGAAATGTCTATAAATCTGAGTCTTAGGTGTTCAATCCACTTTTAAAAGGACAATTTGATACAAAATAGCTGTAACCTCCTGATAAAGGATTATTGTAAACCTTCTAAGACAATATAAAATTAATACGGGGTTATTCATATATCCGTGAAATATCACCGGATGATAACGTTAATATGACACAACATCTTGAAATGTCAAATACACTGACATCTATGTATAGACATAAAAATAATACGAATATTCTTTCGATCATTATCGGGTGTACTAAGTGTGAATAAAATCGTCTAGAGGTATCAAGATATGCTAAGTAACATATATACATATGTATGTTACACATGTCAAGTGTATGATTATGCAGCATATTACCAAGTTAAATCGGAATGAGATCACTACAGGAGTACAGATACTTCAGTTTTTATCCATTAGCGAATCTCTATTTAAAATTATCAAGGCCAGCAAATAATTATGTAAGCAGCCATCTGGATAAAAGGTTAGCAAACTGTGGAACGAAGTAAAATAATCCCATAAGTTTGGAAATAATGACAAATAATTTTATTTCACATAGTTTATACCATCTATTGTTTCAAGTATCAAAATAAATATTTGTATAAAGAAATAAAAATTTCATCATGGCTCGATAGAAAGACGTATAAGTTATGCAATATCAGGTTGAGTTTGAGCACTTAATAACCAAATGAATGAACTGGAACTTATTCAATAACAATTTTTAATCTTTGACAAGCCACTTCTATATCCATATGATCTGTTTGTGAAGCAAAACTCTTAAACCCTGTATTTTACAGAAATATATATATATATATACTAAGTGATATACGAGTATAAATCCGAACACCCAGTTTAAATGGTTTTATTTTAATAAAAGTTGGTGAATGTATTTATCTTACTGTAAATAACAAGTGAAAAATTTTCAGCCTTATCAGTTGGACATTCCGGTTTTTATACTGCTTTTTTTTTAATTCACTAACGCTCTAAAAATGAATATTTTAGCCGCACTAATCAACGTTGGCGGATTTTGGTTCATGACATCCTTTACGATCGGTTACGATGCCTAGAGTACGGAGACCTGTACGATTTCGTCAACTTAGTGAGTTTGATAGGGGCCGTATAGTGGGACTTCGGGAAGCTGGACTTTCTTTTCGGGCAATTGCAGTTAGAGTGCAAAGAAGTGTAGACACGGTGGTTAGGTGTTGTTAGGCATGGCCTCGAGAAGGCCGTACGCAAAGAGCAAGGGGCACTGGACGCCGCCGTAGACCAACAGAACGTGAAGATCGCCGCCTCAGATTATTGGCCTTAAGGGACCGTTTCTCCAATACCAGGTCCATTGCAAATGAATGGTTTGCAGAACACGGAAGACCTATTGGCATGCGAAGTGTTTACCGACGAATGAGAAGTTTTGGCTTGTTTTCATACCGGCCACACTGGGTCCTCCCTTTAACTCGAGAACACCGACGTAATCGCCTTGAGTGGTGCAGACAACGGTCACTCTGGGATCAGGAATGGAACAGTATTGTCTTTAGTGACGAGTCTCGATTTTGTTTAGGCATGCACAGTTTTTTGTTGAAAGACATGTTCATCACACTGTTGGAGTTATGGTTTGGGGTGCTAGAGCTTATGGTTCCAGGTCACCTTTAATCTTCATCAGAGGTCACATGAACGCGCAGCGTTATATCCACGAAGTTCTAGAACCCCATCTATTACCCTATCTTGACACCCTGGCAGATCTATCTTTCCAACAAGATAATGCCCGCACATATTGCAAGAGTCACAATAGACTTCTTTCAACATAATGATGTCACATTGTTACCACGGCCTCCAAGATCTCCCGACTTATCCCCAATTGAGCACGTGTGGGATATGATGGGTAGGAGATTGCTCAATTTGCAACGTCCTCCTCAGACTCTAGAAGCACTTCGAGAGGAGTTGGTGGTTGCCTGGAATGAGATACCACAGGAGGACATTGACCACCTGATCAGAAGCATGCCTAGGCGCGTTGGAGAATGCGTAGCACATCAGGGTGCATCCACACATTATTAAAGGTCAAAGGGCTTTAAAGCAGTGCAATCATTTTGAAATTTTTATCATTTACTTATTATGCTTCATTAAGTACTTATACAAAATTTTATTAAAATAAAACCATTTAAACTGGGTGTTCGGATTTATATGTCACTTAGTCTATGAGCAGTAGTAATTGCCATTGCCAACGAAAAGTTGGGCAAGAAATACAATTAATTATGAATTGGGAAATTTGCAATGTTTGTTTAGGCTTCCGTAAACTCTTTTAACGGTAATCTTGAGATCTCGTCACGATATAGAGCCATCATCAGGAGCTGAAACACAAATATGAAGCTTGCAACCAATACGGAAAAGATTTAAATTTTCAGACAACTTACTCGTCGCTGAGGTTGCAGCCAAATTGTGTTTCAAAACGAAAGCGTGGACGGAAGCACTTGTTGCAATTGTAAAACCAAACGGACGGACACATTGGATTTATTGGTAACGGTGGAAACTATAGTTAAGTGTTAACACTATACAGTGCTTTTCTTTAATGTCCCCCTCCCCTTTGATTTTTGAACGGATCAATTTAAAAACTTCAAACTTGGGGTAATCAAATTGATCCGTGGATACCATATTTTACAGTAAAATTCACAGGTGAAAATGTCAAGATGGCCGCTGGGCACAATCTTGGGAAAGCAATTATACGAAAACGGGGGTCTTGTGGCACATCATTTTGAAGCTCCTGACGAGTAGTTTACAACCCTAGAACATAAAGTCAATAGCTTTACCTACTATAACATGGTGGTACAGTTAATAATGACTTGAACACAAATCCACTAACATGCACATCTCTACAAATAATTGTAATTCCCTGTCGTATCCACAGCAACAGCGATAAAAACTTGTTCTGTTATTTTTTGTTGACAGTGACAAGAATATCAGTACGACAACAAACATCATCGTACAGTTAAAATATTCTTCTCTCTGCAAATAACACACAAGCCAGTTTGTGCAAATTATACGAACATAAAGACGTACCTTTAGAGAACATAAAAATCTATAGATACCTAGAGTGAGTCAAAAGCAAGGATGTTTGAGTTAGTATAGTCTTCGTTGCAGCGGTCGAATTTTACTCTAAAATATGGTATCTACGCATCAATTTCATTTCCTCAAGTTTTCATTTTTTTAATTGATCCGTTCAAAAAATCAAAGGGGGGGAGCATTAAAGAAAAGCACTGTGTATCAATACACCCTAATTATTGAACTGCAAATTTTAAGGAAAAAACATGGCAGAGTCCGTTCTAACCTCCTACATCTGTTTCACGTGGAGATAATGAGCGAAACCGGAAGAGCGATGCGTCGGCAGATCACCGATCACAAAAATCATTGCCAAATTTCAGGTATAGTGTATACGAGGGACGCTTGGATCATATTCCCCAAATTGCTGGATTAGTTTGTACTGGAAAAAATGTAATTCGTATGAATGTAAGATGGTGATTCACGCTTGAAAAGATGGGCTGTATGAAGATATATTAATATTTATTATTGTTGTGAGACGTTGGATTTTTTTTTTGTTTTTATTTAACAGGATAAATAACTGGAATTTTGTTTTAATTTTGGGAGGATGTTAGATGAACTGGAATATGTAGTCATTCTAACTTTTCGCACTTCAATAATTAAGAATAAATAACACTAAGCTGCTTAACATCAGCCTTCTTATTCATCCAATGATCCGTCATGAAAATGTGGGACATTTCTAAATGTTGTTCAGGAGACAAATTAAAGAAAGAGCCTTTGAAAAGCTAAATGTATAAAGTGACATATAAATCCGAACACCCAGTTTAAATGGTTTTATTTTAATAAAAGTTGGTGAATGTATTTATCTTACTGTAAATAACAAGTGAAAAAATTTTCAGCCATATCAATTGGACATTCCGGTTTTTATACTGCTTTTTTTTAATTCACTAACGCTCTAAAAATGAATATTTCAGCCGCAGTAAAGAATCAACGTTGGCGGATTTTGGTTCTTGACATCCTTTACGATCGGTTACGACGCCTAGAGTACGGAGACCTGTACGATTTCGTCAACTTAGTGAGTTTGATAGGGGCCGTATAGTGGGACTTCGGGAAGCTGGACTTTCTTTTCGGGCAATTGCAGTTAGAGTGCAAAGAAGTGTAGACACTGTGGTTAGGTGTTGTCAAGCATGGCTTCGAGAAGGCCGTACGCAAAGAGCAAGGGGCACTGGACGCCGCCGTAGAACAACAGACCGTGAAGATCGCCGCCTAAGATTATTGGCCTTAAGGGACCGTTTCTCCACTACCAGGTCCATTGCAAATGAATGGTTTGCAGAACACGGAAGACCTATTGGCATGCGAAGTGTTTACCGACGAATGAGAAGTTTTGGCTTGTTTTCATACCGGCCACACTGGGTCCTCCCTTTAACTCGAGAACACCGACGTAATCGCCTTGAGTGGTGCAGACAACGGTCACTCTGGGATCAGGAATGGAACAGTATTGTCTTTAGTGACGAGTCTCGATTTTGTTTAGGCATGCACGATGGTCGTGCCAGGGTTAGAAGGCGACGTGGTGAAAGGAGGAATCCACAGTTTTTTGTTGAAAGACATGTTCATCACACTGTTGGAGATATGGTTTGGGGTGCTATAGCTTATGGTTCCAGGTCACCTTTAATCTTCATCAGAGGTAACATGAACGCGCAGCGTTATATCCACGAAGTTCTAGAACCCCATCTTTTATCCTATCTTGACACCCTGGCAGATCCAGCTTTCCAACAAGATAATGCCTGACCACTTGTCGCAAGAGTCACAATAGACTTCTTTCAACATAATGATGTCACATTGTTACCATGGCCACCAAGATCTCCCGACTTATCCCCAATTGAGCACGTGTGGGATATGATGGGTAGGAGATTGCTCAATTTGCAACGTCCTCCTCAGACTCTAGAAGCACTTCGAGAGGAGTTGGTGGTTGCCTGGAATGAGATACTACAGGAGGACATTGACCACCTGATCAGAAGCATGCCTAGGCGCGTTGGAGAATGCGTAGCACATCAGGGTGCATCCACACATTATTAAAAGTCAAAGGGCTTTAAAGCAGTGCAATCATTTTGAAATTTTTATCATTTACTTATTATGCTTCATTAAGTACTTATACAAAATTTTATTAAAATAAATCCATTTAAACTGGGTGTTCGGATTTATATGTCACTTAGTATATTTTGTATTTTGTATACGAGTATTCGGATAAGCGCACCCGCAACAGTGAGCATTCTTAGCAAACAACAACTTGAGAGAAAGGAAAAATGGGCGCTGGAGGGAATCGAACCCCGAACCCGCATCGCCTCCATTCCGCGGAGTCGACCTAACAAATTATACTACAGCAGCAGCTGCCAAAAAATCTTCGATAGGTTCCTAGTTTCGCCACGCCGTCTCTTGTGCACTTACCAGGGTACCACGGTACCTCACAAAGTGGTACCATGGTAAGTGCCCACGAGTTGTTAAAAAGCGATTTAAGTTACTTTTACTTTACACTTTCGATGAACTGGACAGGTGTCGCCTACTACATAGGCTTTTTGTCACTCAATGGAGCACTATGTGTCCTCCGTGCTATCATCTTTGACAAATTATGCAAAAATTGCATAATCTAAAGGTCGGATAGGCTCTGTGTGCTTTCATGCACTTTTATAACGACCAACCGAATACAACGTTGTTGAGCTTTCGACGGTTACGAGGAAAACGACTGTCACGTTGACAGCTTGCAATGTACGGTCACGTTCTGTCGGCATCCAAAATAGAATAAACAAATCCCGTATATGTATAGATAAAGCTAATAAAAATGCAATATCGTTTAGGCAAGGAACATCCCAATTTACCAATTCGAGAATTTTGTTTATTTTACAGGCCTTGAGAGAATTTCTTGGAAACGAAGACTTAATCGGAAGACCTAACCGCAAGCCCGACACATATCGATCATGGGGAAAAAGATTAGGTAACTACTTTTAATTTAAATTTAAATAATTCAACAATGATAATCTTTGCTAATTGAAAGAACACTAAATAAATAGGTCCCTTTGCCGTAATTGAAAGCTTGGTAAGCTTTAACCACACTGATGGCAGTGTTTTGGAATAGAACTATCCATTAAGATATTTCACCAAGTGCAGTAACCCAGCTGGTGGAAGTAGCCGATAGCGGCGGTAAGAAGCTTTGCGTTATAGTTGCTTTTGACGTTAGAGATGCCTTTAACATGGCACAGTGGCAGAAAATCATCGAATCTCTCGAGGAGATATATACTCCTAGCTATCTATTGAACATATACGCGAAGACACTTATGGAGGGCAAAAGACGATAAAGGTTACCATGAGTTGCCGCAGGGTTCCGTCCTAGTGCCGTTGCTTTGGAATGTGTTCTACGAAGGGGCCCTTCAGCCATATATGCTGCCCAAAATTCGCTTGATAATGTATGCTGACGATCTTGCGATGATAGTGACTAGCAAGAAGAGAGATACACTTGAAGGACGCTTATACGCATACACGGAAAGACACTTATGGAGGGCAAAAGACGATAAAGGTAACCATGGGATGCTGCAGGGTTCCGTCCTAGTGCCGTTGCTTTGGAATGTGTTCTACGAAGGGGCCCTTCAGCCACATGTGCTGCCCAAAATTCGCTTGATAAAGTATGCTGACAACGTTGCGATGATAGTGACTAGCAAGAAGAGAGATACACTTGAAGGACGCTTGGTAAACAGAACCAGGAGAATTACCATATGGGTGGAAGGAAATCGCTTGAAATTAGCTCCTTCATTAGCTGTTAAGGTTGATAATTCCGAGATTCGGATCCAAAATGCAATTAAGTTTCTGGGTGTGTGGGTTGACAAGGATCTGAAAGTGATTGAAAATATAAGGCACACCACGGTCAAGGTAAATGACCTCGGAGCATCTCTGATACGACTAATTCCTTCTGACGGAGACCAGCGAGAGGCGCAGAATTTTGGCAGGGGTAGAAATCACGGTTATGCTGTACGAGCTGTACAATTGGCGTTATTGACCACCCTGTATGAGCAAAAATGAAAATTCGAAAAAGTAACAAATAAGATAAAAGTGCAAGTTTTTCTTTATACAAAATTCAGCAATCCAAATTTCAAAATGGCGAATTGGACGGTTTTTCTGGACAAAACACCATGCGTGTCAGTAGCTTCTTCTTTTGAATTGGTTTATCCAAATATGCAATAAAATTTGAGGCATTCCTTGTAAAAAATCACAACTTTGATATGTAGGTCAAAATTGGGACACCCTGTCAATATTTTGGAAATGTGCCCTCAAATGTCATGTATAACATGCCATAAATATATTTTCCCAAAATTTATTTGTTTATAAGTAATATTCCGTTCACACATGGATGGGCCACCCTGTATACTTACTGTAGCATTGCCAATCATAGAACCAGAAATAGTAAAAGTAGAATTTAGATAACAATTATAATAAAAATAAATAGAAAACACCAAAGAAAACAAAGACGCTAACACGGTAAAAGAAATAAAGGTTAGAACAAAAGAGAGAATTCATAGACAGCTGAAAGAGAAATGGAGTAGGAATAATCTGTATCGGCAGTATCCAAAAGAAGTGCACGACATGGCGTTGGCTTCAATGTGAAGATATCAAAGGTGAAACAGAAGCTTTGATAACGGCTAGAGCAGGCTAGAGCAACAAATCACTATCAAACCAAAATATACTAAGTGACATATAAATCCGAACACCCAGTTTAAATGGTTTTATTTTAATAAAATTTTGTATAAGTACTTAATGACGCATAATAAGTAAATGATAAAAATTTCAAAATGATTGCACTGCTTTAAAGCCCTTTGACCTTTAATAATGTGTGGATGCACCCTGATGTGCTATGCATTCTGGAACGCGCCTAGGCATGCTTCTGATCAGGTGGTCAATATCCTCCTGTGGTATCTCATTCCAGGCAACCACCAACTCCTCTCGAAGTGCTTCTAGAGTCTGAGGAGGACGTTGCAAATTGAGCAATCTCCTACCCATCATATCCCACACGTACTCAATTGGGGATAAGTCGGGAGATCTTGGTGGCCATGGTAACAATGTGACATCATTATGTTGAAAGAAGTCTATTGTGACTCTTGCAACATGTGGTCGGGCATTATCTTGTTGGAAAGTTGGATCTGCCAGGGTGTCAAGATAGGGTAAAAGATTGGGTTCTAGAACTTCGTGGATATAACGCTGCGCGTTCATGTTACCTCTGATGAAGATTAAAGGTGACCTGGAACCATAAGCTATAGAACCCCAAACCATAACTCCAACGGTGTGACGTCCTTCAACAAAAAACTGTGGATTCCTCCTTTCACCATGTCGCCTTCTAACCCTGGCACGACCATCGTGCATGCCTAAACAAAATCGAGACTCGTTACTAAAGACAATACTGTTCCATTCCTGATCCCAGAGTGACCGTTGTCTGCACCACTCAAGGCGATTACGTCGGTGTTCTCGAGTTAAAGGGAGGACCCAGTGTCGCCGGTATGAAAACAAGCCAAAACTTCTCATTCGTCGGTAAACACTTCGCATGCCAATAGGTCTTCCGTGTTCTGCAAACCATTCATTTGCAATGGACCTGGTAGTGGAGAATCGGTCCCTTAAGGCCAATAATCTTAGGCGGCGATCTTCACGGTCTGTTCTTCTACGGCGGCGTCCAGTGCCCCTTGCTCTTTGCGTACGGGCTTCTCGAAGCCATGCCTGACAATACCTAACCACAATGTCTACACTTCTTTGCACTCTAACTGCAATTGCCCGAAAAGAAAGTCCAGCTTCCCGAAGTCCCACTATACGGCCCCTATCAAACTCACTAAGTTGACGAAATCGTGCAGGTCTCCGTACTCTAGGCATCGTAACCGATCGTAAAGGATGTCAAGAACCAAAATCCGCCAACGTTGATTCTTTACTGCGGCTGAAATATTCATTTTTAGAGCGTTAGGGAATTAAAAAAAAGCAGTATAAAAACCGGAATGTCCAACTGATAAGGCTGAAAATTTTTTCACTTGTTATTTACAGTAAGATAAATACATTCACCAACTTTTATTAAAATAAAACCATTTAAACTGGGTGTTCGGATTTATATGTCACTTAGTATACTTCACACAACGGACGAACCAAAATGTAGATCATGTAAAACCGAAAATGAAACGATACAGCATATACAGAATGTTTCACAAGTCGTGGACAAAAATGAAACATCATATACAGGACCGCATTCTAAGTTTAAAAATAAAATAACATTTTTTCAATATATTCAAAACCGTCAACCGGTATGAACTGAACTTTGGCATGTGGATTTATCTAAGTATCATCCACATTTAAAAGTTTTGACTCAAAATTGAAGTGCACCAGTGGCGGAGATACAGGGGACTAGTGGCATTATTTTTCCAAATAAAAAATAGTACATTTTTCGCAGCGCGCAATTTTTCAGATTTTACCTTCAATTTGCTGCAAACAATCTCCTCCTAGAGTGCATTGTTTTCTTAAAAATAAAAATTAGATCATCCATGAACAGCCGAGATGCAATTACTTTCAAAATAAAATGGGAGGCCTTGATACTAATTTGACGTTTTCTGGGAGATGCTTGTCAAAGCTGTATGGGTTTTGTCGTTACTACTACCATTTTTTTTTTTTGTAAAAGTCAAGTCAAATGTTTCTTTATTCCATTTTTGAGTGTGTTGTGAAATGGAATTTAGCGTTGACGAGAAATAGTAGTAGTAGATTTTTGGTCACGACCTGTGGATCATTCTGTATAATGTCAGGCTGTTCTATATTGGCAAATAAATAATACCTCGATATGTACAACGGTGTTGTTGATCACCTACATTATAAAATATGTAAGTATTTTGGGATCACACTATGTGACTAGTGGTACCTCAACAATCCAGATCCAGTGATGGAAACATCAAACGTAACAATCCTTTATGACAATGCAAACTGACAGGCACATTCCCGCAAACAAGCCAGATATCATCATACAGATTAATAGAACCTGCATTATTGTGGACATTGCTGTACCATCTGACTGTAATGTAATTCTAAAAGAGGCCGCAAAGCTCGATAAATACCTGGAGATTGGAATACGGCGAATGTAATAATAATAAAAAGTAGGTGTAACTCATACCATAACAAAAGTATATCGAAAAAGATAAAATAAGTTCCTGTATAGAACAACCTGAAAAGCTTACAAAAAATGTTACATCTTAAAACAGCTCACATTGTAGGAAGGACAGTAACTTAAAAACAAAACTTACCTGCCCTAGGAGTATGGTTTACTCTCGGCGGGAAAATCTCTTCCCGAGGAAGAGAACCTACCAAATCCCGATTCGGTTTCGCCTCTTGAAACGACTTGGCTCATCCCCTTTCTTTGAAGGCGTAGGAAGTATAGAGTCAATCTAGTTGACGCCATTTTTTTTTCAGGAATCGTAATGACAGATGGAGACTTCTGGTCCGAACAGCGTCGCTTCCTAGTGCGCCACCTCCGAGAGTTCGGCTTCGGCACCAACAATATGTCCACGTTGCTGGAAGAAGAATCCCAGGAGCTGGTCAAATACCTTCTGAATGAGACCAATGGCGGAGAAGGTGTTGTCAGCGTACCCTCGTTGTTCAGCACGCCGATATTAAACACCCTGTGGAGAATGCTTGTGGGTGTAAGATATGATTCTGGTGATCCACAACTGGCGAAGTTACATGGCATTCTGGCGGATATGTTCAAACACATGTCGATGGTCGGAAAGCTGTTTGTATCTTTTCCGATTTTGCGGTACTTGGCACCAGAAGCATCAGGTAACTGACTATCTGTAATACGCATCGGTCCATTCCAGTTCCCGTTTTCTCAGGCATCGGGTACCATCATACACAATTTTATTTCACACTCTACTCGTGCTTAAATGATTTAAATAGCAAGACCATACTCCAAAATTTAATAAAAAAATATTTTTTGTTTGAAAAAGCAATGGCGTACAATATTTTTTCTGAGAAATCTCCAGTATAAGGATGCCACTGGTGGAAATATTAAAAAATGTCTTAGATCAAAAAATACCTGTTAGTTCTTCGTGGGTGCATGTCAAATTTCACGAAATAGCTAGAACAGTATTAATGTGAGTTTTCTTCTCTATGACAGGATTCCGAACATAACCTTTTTTTCTTTGGAACAATCTGAATACGGGATTTTGAAAAACCACACGCTATAATAGCATATAAACGACAGAACTATCGAAATCAAACACCAAATTCTACTAATGAACGCACCCCGACACGTCTCTCTCTATCTCTCTCTATCTCTGGTAGGTAACAACTGCAATTTAAAAAGAGAGACAGATCCCTGTCAGAAATGTTTTCCTACCGTGATACAGCCTACTTGCGTCAATCTGAAAAATTATTTAATGTCACATTGCTTGTACAAAATTAAAAACCAGGACCTAGTTTCACCTTGATCCAGAATTTGGCTTCTAACTAATTATCAGGTCTGAAATAAGGAAAAATCCCTCCAGGTCAAATGAATGAACGAATATTCACTTATTGTTTACATATTAAGTTACTTTTCCCAAAACTAAAAAACAAACACATTATGATACATATAGTTAACAACTTCGCACCATAAAACAAATTTGAGAAAATGTTGTTATCAGAGTGTCTCATTAAAAATGTTAACAAACTTACTACTTTAGCTTATTTTTAAGGCCCAAATTGGGTAGCTATTGTGTCCACATTTGAAGAAAAAATTTCCAGCGCATAGATTTTTCGTTCCCTTGTGACCTAAAATCTAACTCCTCAATCGTTCTATTATAATCACTACCACAAGTGGAAGTCACTTATTTAACACACTCTGCTATAGACAAGTGTATCAGCATCTAATCTCACGTCTAACTAATATACTAAGCGACATATAAATCCGAACACCCAGTTTAAATGGTTTTATTTTAATAAAATTTTGTATAAGTACTTAATGAAGCATAATAAGTAAATGATAAAAATTTCAAAATGATTGCAGTGCTTTAAAGCCCTTTGACCTTTAATAATGTGTGGATGCACCCTGATGTGCTACGCATTCTCCAACGCGCCTAGGCATGCTTCTGATCAGGTGGTCAATGTCCTCCTCATTCCAGGCAACCACCAACTCCTCTCGAAGTGCTTCTAGAGTCTGAGGAGGACGTTGCAAATTGAGCAATCTCCTACCCATCATATCCCACACGTGCTCAATTGGGGATAAGAAGTCGGGAGATCTTGGTGGCCATGGTAACAATGTGACATCATTATGTTGAAAGAAGTCTATTGTGACTCTTGCAACATGTGGTCGGGCATTATCTTGTTGGAAAGTTGGATCTGCCAGGGTGTCAAGATAGGGTAAAAGATGGGGTTCTAGAACTTCGTGGATATAACGCTGCGCGTTCATGTTACCTCTGATGAAGATTAAAGGTGACCTGGAACCATAAGCTATAGTACCCCAAACCATAACTCCAACCGTGTGATGAACATGTCTTTCAACAAAGTACTGTGGATTCCTCCTTTCACCACGTCGCCTTCTAACCCTGGCACGACCATCGTGCATACCTAAACAAAATCGAGACTCGTCACTAAAGACAATACTATTCCATTCCTGATCCCAGAGTGACCGTTGTCTGCACCACTCAAGGCGATTACGTGGGTGTTTTCGAGTTAAAGGGAGGACCCAGTGTGGCCGGTATGAAAACAAGCCAAAACTTCTCATTCGTCGGTAAACACTTCGCATGCCAATAGGTCTTCCGTGTTCTGCAAACCATTAATTTGCAATAGACCTGGTAGTGGGGAAACGGTCCCTTAAGGTCAATAATCTTAGGCGGCGATCTTCATGGTCTGTTGTTCTACGGCGGCGTGCAGTGCCCCTTGCTCTTTGCGTACGGCCTTCTCGAAGCCATGCCTGACAACACCTAACCACAGTGTCTACACTTCTTTGCACTCTAACTGTAATTGCCCGAAAAGAAAGTCCCACTATACGGCCCCTATCAAACTCACTAAGTTGACGAAATCGTACATGTCTCCGTACTCTAGGCATGGTAACCGATCGTAAAGGATGTCAAGAACCAAAATCCGCCAACGTTGATTCTTTACTGCGGCTGAAATATTCATTTTTAGAGCGTTAGTGAATTAAAAAAAAGCAGTATAAAAACCGGAATGTCCAACTGATGAGACTGAAAATTTTTTCACGTGTTATTTACAGTAAGATAAATACATTCACCAACTTTGATTAAAATAAAACCATTTAAACTGGGTGTTCGGATTTATATGTCACTTAGTATAGTTGACCAACTGTATGTATACATGAGCAAGAGACAGCGACATAGTATGTTTCCTTTATTGTAAAATTTACACTCTAGTGAATTTATATCCTTAGTAATAAGGATAATTGATACTTTTCGGCAGGCGATGGCGAAAAATACACTTTTTGCAAGTGTTAGGTATAAGATTTTTTTTAACAGCGTGTGGAAAATTTGCGATGCGTGTTGAAAGCAGCTGATAGGAAAAATACTCCAATAGCTAAAAATCTGTCTATTTCTGTCTGCCTTGACTAAAAATACCTTCAACTGTGTTACAGGATACAATTTCTACATGGACGTCCACAGACGCCTCATCGACTTCCTCTATGAAGCGATAGATGACCACAAGCAAATGTATGACCCCGAATGCCCCCGTGACGTTATGGATCTTTACTTAAGCATGATCAACTTTAACTGCAAGCTGCAGAATTCCACCTTTTCTGAGCAACAGCTGGTCATTACTTGCATGGATATGTTCATCGCAGGTTCGGAGACCACGAGTAACACTTTGGGCTTCTGTTTCCTGTATTTGGTGTTGTATCCGGAGGTTCAGAGGAAGGCCCAAGAGGAGATCGATAGTGTCTTGGGAAGAGAACGGGCACCTACGCTCAGCGACAGACAACAGTAAGAATATAACATATTATTGATGAAATATAATTACTAAAAGTCGGACAGTTCTTAAATAGATAGCATCCTCACTCTGTACAAGGCCGAAATAAGACCTAGCCTTACTTCCTTGGGGTGTGATCCATGCTCAACGCTGTTCAGAGCAGGGCTGACCTACTGTTCTCTAACGGACGGTCTCGGTATCGTTGCGCACGGGACATCCGCGATCTAACACAGTATCAGTAAGATTATTTAAATATAATGGCTGAACATGGTTACCTGTCAGCCATTAACGAAATGACAAGAGTAGAAGGAAACAGTGGGAGTTACATAGATCATATGTTTATAAATTCACGTTTAGAACTTGACAAAATATATTCAACAATTCTAAAATACAAAATTTCTGATCATTTTCCTATTTGCTCAAAATCGATCTTGAAAGTACATCAACCAAAATTGAAAAGACAGTGAATAATACAAAAATTTACATTGATTATGAAAAACTAAATAACAACTTACTCAATGAAAATTGGATTGTAGTATATAACGAACCTAATGTTGAAAATGCATTTGTCCTTTTTATATCTAGCATTGAAGGCCATATTGCTGAATGCACCAAAACAGTAAAGATTCCACGAACACAAATAAAAAGACAAGCATGGATATCAAAAGGGATTATTACCTCCATCAACAAAAAATAGAATTATATAAGGAAACCAAAAAATATCCTTATGATGTTAAACTTTTGAATGAATTTAAATCATATCGAAACAGACTGATAAAAATAATTAAAGAGGCTAAAATTAAATATCTCCAAGACGAGTTTGATAATCTACAAAATTGTTCGTCTAAAATGTGGCAATTTATCAATAAAATACAAGGCAAAAAACAAAACAACAAAATTAGTACAATTAAAAAAGAAAATGGTGAACTAGTGAGTAATGATGTAGATAAGGCAAATGAATTTTGTGAATATTTTTCAAAAATCGGGAAAAGGTTGTCAGAAAGCATAAAAAACGCGGAGAAATTAAATTATAGTAAGACCAGATTATATAACTCATTATATCTGGAATCGACCGATACACATGAAATAAAGACAATAATCAATGAATTGAAATTAAGAAAATCTCCAGGTCTAGATAATATAACAGCGTATACTCTCAAGAGAATAAATTGCAACATCTGCGGCATACTATCATATTTGATAAATTCTTGTATGAATAAAGGAATATTCCCTTCATGTTTAAAACACGCTATGGTAAAACCATTATTTAAATCTGGAGAAAGAGAAAAACCCATCAACTATCGACCAATTTCCATCTTAACAAATTTTCTAAAATATTTGAAAAAGTGTTAAAAAAACGATTTACCGAATTTGCAAAAAAATATAACTTAATAGCGGAAGAGCAATATGGTTTTCAAGAAGGCAAATCTGCTCAAGATGCTATTGTAAAATTAACAAATAAAATATACACGAATCTCGATATTGGCAAACCAACTGCTTGTGTTTTTGTTGACTTGGCAAAGGCATTCGACTCTATTACTCATGAATCGCTTTTAACAACTTTAGAAAACTTAGGTTTCCGGGGAATAACATACAAACTTATAGAAAATTATTTGTCAAATCGAACACAGTGCGTCAAAATTAATAACACACTCAGTGAACCCCATATTATATCACACGGTGTACCTCAAGGCTCAGTATTAGGACCCATTTTATTTAATCTATTTATCAACGATTTGTTCAAAATAAATAGTACAGGTAAAGTTATCGGTTTTGCGGATGATACAGCTATTCTCTATGAAAGCAACCAGTGGCATACACTAAAAACCACAATCGAACATGATTTCAAAACATTTATAAATTTCTTTTCGGAAAGAACTTTGACAATTAATTACAACAAAACACACTATATAGCATTTTCTTGTAACGACAGGCTCTCACCGCAATTTAAAAAACTTGAAATTCATACAAGCATTGGTCTCAAAGAGGTTCAGTCAGCCAATAAAATAAAATACTTAGGCGTGATTTTGGACAAACACTTAAAATGGGATACCCATACAGAGTACATTGTGAAGAGACTGAGATGTATTATTCCAAAATTCAGGTACTTCAGGGATATTCTAGATAAGAAATATCTATATAATCTATATTATGCTCTTGTTTATCCTCTATTACTTTACGGAATTTTGGCTTGGGGGGGAGTTATGAATAATAATTGCAAAAAGATTGAGGTAATCCAAAAATTAATTCTAAAATTGATCCTCCATAGGGAGATTACTTATTCAAGTGATTTTCTATATGTGGAGGCTCAGCTATTAGATTGCAGACAAATTTATTTTTATTGTGGTCTAATACATTATTTCAAATATTCAAAATACTTTAATCGTACCATTCATAACTACCCAACAAGATTCAATCAAAATTCAATGTGTATTCCACAAATATCAAAAACCATTACACAACGATCTCTGTTTTTCTTGGGACCAAAATTCTATAACTTCATACCAGAGTCATTAAAAGTAATTAAATCAAATAAATCATTTAAAAAACAACTAAAAAAATGGATTTTACAACAACCAAAGTACTCCATCCACGAAATTGTAGATCTGAAAAATCATTATCAAAATCAATAATATTTTACTTACACTAACATCCTTACTTTTACTTCAGTTCTAATTGTCTGGATATTTTTCCTGACATTACCATAATAATTCACCAAATTATACAGTATTAACGGGTTTTTTCTTTTTTTTTCATACACTGACTGTACTATTAGTTTTTACTTTGTACAAACCCAAACACAAGTGCAAACTTTTTTGGGTGCTTTATGTTTATTGTGCACAATATTTGATATTTACTTGTATTTTGTGACAATAAACATTATTATTATCTTTAAGCTCCTCATAGCAGTCACGGTGCCCCGGTATTTACGCTTTGGCTCGTATGGTTGCTTCGGTATAAAAGAGATCTATTTTGAACTGAGGCGAATAAATGAGAGACTTGAAAAAGATTCTGTGAGAAGAAGCCTCTACGACGATTTTGTTTACCGCGATCCTGCATAGTGAGTGATCCAACTTGGGCAAATATAACCCTTTATGAAATAATTACAGCGTTGCGTAAAGTAGGCAGAGTCGACCTACCTGACACACTTTTTTATTTTGCAGGCTTCCATACATTGAGTGCATCGTATGGGAATCAATGAGGATGTTTGTTGGCCGAGGGTTTACACTTCCACATAGAGCAATCAGAGCCACAAAATTGTGCGGATATTCTCTACCAAAGGTAAGATAATATTGAATATTACAGTTTGACCCACAAAAGATTGTGAATATGCAGATTTCGTTGTTTTTATTAATTTGCAGGCACCAGATGTATAGCTTTGTATTTTTAAGATTACGAGACTAACAAGAAGCGCCATAGAGCACATACGGTTTCGATGGATGGCCGAGTTCTGCCAAAGAGCCATTTATTTCAGCTGGTAGGAATCCAGGTCACCGAGGACTTGATCTGGCATGAACACATTTCGTGAATAGCGGCAGCTGCTGGGAAAAAGCTAGGCTACTTGTTTAGCCCTAAAAGCTACACAGTATGACCTCGCTCTGAACAAGACCTGCATAAGGCCTAGACTCGAGTACTAAAACAGTTTCCTTGAATCCATGAATCTAGTTTAATTAAATTTATTAAACCGTTTACTGAGATTCATTAAACCAAGTTATTGAACTGTTAAAATGAATTTACTTGCTGCAAGTAGCACAATTCAATTACAATTCTTATATTTGTTTAATTAGATTAGGTAAAAGTGTTTGCCTAGCTCTAATGAACTGCTTTACTTAGATTTGATAGGATATTTGGGCAATATTTGGAATTTAATAGAACAAATTGTATATTACTGAATGGTATATTATAACTGCTCTGACAAACCTTACATCTAGATATCGAAAAATTTGGAAAACGTGATATTGATGTTTTTGAATCAAAACTTCCGAATCTACCAAAACGAAATTTAATAATTTTTTCTATTGGAAACCTGTCATACAGGGGGTGGCAACATGAAAAGGTCGCACTCCTATTTGTGATTCTCCCCCCGTCCCCTCCTCCAGTCAGTGTTATTGTATGTCAAAGAAAAACTTCGTCTTTCATTTCAAATTGTTACCTGCTTAGTTGTGATAAGTATTGAACAAAGGCTTATTCAATTCAAGAAAGGGTAGCAATGTCTAAACTTTATGACCAAATGGGGGCATTGCAAGAGATTCTACCCGATTATTTAATGCGTTACATCCAGAAAAAAATTTGGCTATGTTGATAAGAAAATTTGAAGAATATTATTTGGGGACACGTAACACTTGACAACGTCCAAAGCACTCATGGACTGGCTACTTTTTCGAGGTCGAGGTTTTTGCTGATGCAATGGAAAGTCAGTTCTCTCCCAACTGTGACCTTGATAATGACCTCGACGATGAGCAACATATTGTAAGATCCGTCAGGAGATATTTTAGGGCTAATGGCGTCAGTGGCAGGAGTGCCTCCCTTAGTGATTTTTCCTCAGAGGAATCTTCAGAAGATTCCTCAACTGAAAAGCTGCATGGAATATCAGCGTAATCTCCTGAGACTCCGCATTGCACACCAGCAGAGCTCCAAGGTCATATTAAAGACCTCAAGGTGCGTAAAGCACCTGGAGGGGATCGAATCACTAATAAGGCGCTGATGTACTTTCGCGGAAGTCCTTAACTTATCTCGTGGCATTAATCAATGCCATGCTAAGGACCCAGCACTTCCCTACGGCGTGGAAGACCGCTAATGTCATAATGATTCCAAAGAAGGTGGGTTCGTTATTCCCCCAGGATTAACGCCCCATTAGTCTACTGTCAGCTCCTTCTAAGCTCGCTAAAAAGGTGTTTCTACGTCACCTTGAAAATGACTCGGCAGACCACAACGTGATTCCTGACGTGCAATTTGGCTTTCGGTCTGAGCATAGTACGGATCTACAGGCGATAAGGCTTGTTGAACGAGTAACCAGGGGGTTCACCCGTAACGAAAGTACTGGCATCTTGCTTCTGGATGTTTCAAAGGTATTTGAAAAGGGCCTTCTCTACAAATTGATCCATAAGGGCTTTCCCTTCTGGCTCCTAAAACTATTGAAATCCTTCCTCGAGGGTAGGAAATTTCGAATCAAAATTAATAACGTTCTGTCGACAACACGGCCCATCAAAGCCGGTGTCCCTCAGGGTTCGGTTCTTGGACCAGTCCTTTATTCACTTACTATTCATGACGTCCCTTGCCCCAGCAAGTGTGAAATCTACCTCTATACTGATAATACTGCCCTGGTGGTCCAGTCGTGCCCTGAGGATCTAGTCCACGACAGGCTGCAAAGTGCAGTGGACGAGGTACTGGAATGGGCGAATCGGTGGCTGATCAAAATTGATCATTCGAAAACGCAGGCAATCTATTGTACCAGAAAACGTACGACATCGTAACTTATGTCTTTTTTCTCCATTTCAGGATGTCAAAGTAGTCGGCAACTTCTACGACAGCTCTCTGGGCGAAGAATGTGGCCTGGAAGACCCATCGGCCTTCAAACCAGAACGCTACCTTAAGAACGGACAGGTCGTGATTCCGGACAATATCATACCGTTTGGATTGGGTAAACGTAGGTGTATAGGGGAAGCACTGGCAAGAGGCAACCTTTTCCTCTTCATCACGGCTCTTCTGCAGAGGTTCAATTTCAGCCAAATGCCGAACGAAAGTCCTCCGTCCACGGACTGGGAGGACGGGTTCACGCCTAGACCGAAGAATTTCCAAGTTGTTGTGAGCGAAAGATGACTCCGGTTGATCTCTGAAGATTGAAGTACGTCGCAACATTGTTCCTTCGGACTTTTATTGTCTATAAAATTTGGGTTTCGGCGCTTCGATTCAATTTCGCTGGATATGAAGAGTGACAAAATCCACGTGCTTGATTTTCCAAGTGGTTTTGATTCCAAACTAGGAAAAGATGCATAATTCTATTAGCGCTTATAGTCTGGATTCCATAGTTATACCATTTTAAAATAAAATGTATAAAAACCTTCTAGGAACTTATACAGGGTGTAAACGTTATGATAGTCATTATTTAAATGGGTGATAAAGGGGGTTAAAAAAAGTAAAAAGTTTCATATAACATGGGGGTCAAAACGGCATTTTTTAGAGAAAAGCGACTTTAAAGTAAAATTTTTGGCTCTTGCTGATGAGTGCCCAAACAGCACAAAATACCTATAAATGATTAGTCATAATGACATGGTAAGGCCTAAGGTTAAGGTGATATTCAAAGGCGTTACCAGAGGATATTTCGTGAAGTTCATAACCTTTATTGATGCCCATCCTACGTCAAAATCTACTACCTACTCTTTTTGTCCAATTTTTTGTTCGTGTTCTAAGCCAGGAAACCTCATCTGCATTTCTGATAGTAACCTTGACCTTGATTAAAAAATACGTAATCGAAACACTAAAGATGCAAATTGTCAAACAGTGGAAGACTGAAGTGGTACTTGTGAATCTGGTTGTACAGATTTGTACAAAAATGTAAATAGTTAGAATAAAAAAGGTGCGGACGTGTTGTAAATTTACCTGCCGGAAATGGAAATTTCAGGAATCTGCAGTGAGCAAGGTCTATCCGTCTAGATCTAGAAACACCTCAATTGATGACTGTGGTAACATACAATCACTAGCCACGATTGAATTCGTTTTATCTACTCCAAAGAAAAGACCTAGAGGACCAGCAGACTTGCACTACAGCTTCCCTAAAATATCCATCCTTGCTGTGATTATAGAAAAATTCTAGGAATTTTAAGTTTGAACGTATGCAAATTGTGTTATTTTTTATATATAAATTAAAATTCTGGTTCTAAATGTAGGCTTTTATTTATTTATTTACAATTCCCAACAGGATACACTCACTTGCAGGACACCAACAACGGAAATAAATTAATAATTTAACAACAGCAGAACGTGAAAAACACAATATAGAAGTATGGCAGTATTTGAAGTGTGGAAATAGCATTTAACATTCTGACTCTACCGGGTGTAAACTTTATGATAGTCATTATTTAAATGGGTGATAGAAGGGGTTGAAAGAAGCAAAAAGTGTCATATAACATGGGGGTCAAACGGCATTTTTTTAGAGAAAAGCGACTTTAAAGTAAAATAAATCTGACAACGCCGCAATGCCAGACGCAAATTACGACGGAACGCAGTGTAAATAAAGATGGAATTTGATATTTTTGGCTCTTATAATGTACTCGTAAAATGCAAACAATTCGATAAGAGTGATGAATGACCGACGCACTGTTGTCATGTGTGTTTTAAATATTTAACATAACGAAACTTACTTACTTACTGACTACAAATTTTGGCTTAACTTAATGCCATTTATTTGTTAATTTCCCTATTCAAAAACTTTTTAGATTAAATTATAAAAATTAGTAAGATTGTGGTGATTGTGGTCGATATAAAGCACTTAAGGTTGTAAACTATAAAGCCGTTTAGACAAAAGTCTATTGACTTTTGGACCATGCGTCATATGAATCTTTTGACTTCTTTTGACCAGCCCTATTACCCATTTTAATAATAATAGCGTTTACATCCTGTATATCACAGCAAGGTACCAATCTCAGTAACAATCCAATAACAGAGCTATTCTCGATCACAAAAATGTCACAAGCAGAACCAGTCGTATTGAAACGCATACGGTGATTTACACCCCATGTCTGTATTACAAATGTCAAGGTAAACCAAATTCAAACAGCGGCTACGTAAATTAGGGACGCGAGGAAAAATTTTAATTAATGTTAAGGGGTAATCAATTTGATTGTTTAGTACTCTATGTACAAATCTTAGCACCGGTAAATCACGCCTCAGTTGTGACGGCTCAACTTGAAAGATCATTAAGAGTGCGCAAAGGTCTAAACCTCTTTCAGGGTAGTGACCGTGACACTTCAAATAAAAATATCTATAGTGGATACCCAATAAAATCCGATGCACGTCATAGGTGATGTCATTCATAAAAATCATGGTTACCAACAGTTGACTACATTCAATGTGACATTTCTACTTGAAGTTTAAATTTCCCCGTCTCGATTCGGTTGGTAGTGCCGTGCAGAGAAATGCGAGGTTGCCACTTCTCATTTGTTGACATCAGTTGCCATTGTCCTTTTGTCGTACTATTAGTTCTTTATTGTTTAGCTTCTGAGTTTTGCGCTATTTGAGCTTTCAATCGTTGCCTTGCCAATTAAAAATTGTTCTTTTCAGAACAACAGTTACTGTGAAGTGGTGTAAAGTATCCAAAATGCCAAAACAACTTAACAGTCGGTGTAAAGAGCTCATATCATGCTTATTAGAATACTTCGAACGGGAAAGGGATAATAATGGCCCACTTTTGCCTTTAACTGCTGTAAGGGAGGTGAGTGAGCTTGTTGATAGCATAAGTAATAGGAACATTAAGGTTAATCTTCTTTTTCTTATTTTTAGCGTGTAGCAGCAGCATTGAAATTAAATGTGTCTACTATAAGTGGTATTTCACAGGCAGTCAAAAATAAAGAAGTTTTACAATCGCCTCCTAAAAAACGATGTACTCCAAAGAGAGTCACTAATATTTCAAGGCGCAATACAAGTGGTATTCGTAATACTATTTACAACATGTATGAAAACAGTAAGTTGCCCAACAAACATATTTTGAATTAGAGAATGTATAATTGTTTTTTGTAGAACAACATGTAACACTGTCTGGCTTGTGGGAGCAATTAAAAGCTGAGCAATTATTTGAGGGCAGTCGTATGTCGTTAAGCAGACTATTAGAAGAAATAGGCTTCAAATGGGAGAAAGATAACCCCAAATGAGAACTTCCCAATATTGCATCTAAACGTGTTAGTTTTTTGAGATCATACGTACAAAATAAACAAGAGGCTATTTATTAGTTTGTCTTCTTAGATGAGACTTGGATTTTCCAAAATGCCACCGTTCACCGTTCATGGCAAGATAATGACAAGCGAAGTGTTAGAAGTACCAAAGTTGATGGAAAAAGGTGGGCCTTCAAATGTATAGAAAAATAAGCCCTATATAAAAATGAAATGCATTTGTAGGTATATCATAGTTCACGCTGGCAATGAAAATGGATTTGTTGAAGGTGCGTCGCTCATATTTTCATCGAAAACCCAGCTTAATGATTACCATGGTGAAATGAACCAGAAAAACTTTTTATATTGGTTTGAAAATCAATTACTAATAAGCTTGACCCAACCCTCTGTGATTGTTATGGATAATGCATCATACCATAGCATGTTATTAGTAAAAACTCCCAATAGCTCATGGAGAAAGGCTGAAATTCAGAATTGAACAAAAAATACAGTATCCACATGAAGCATTCAAATCTGTACTTCTAACGATTGTTGCACAGTGAGCAGAATACCCAATCTTTATGTATTTGTTCCTATTTTTTTTTTAGGAATAAACCAACCAAAATGTATGTGGTCGATAACTTGGCAGAACAATATGGACATAAAGTTTTACGGTTACCTCCATACCACTGTATTTTTAACCCAATTGAGCTAATTTGGGGGATTGCAAAAAATTACTATAATCGGCATATTGGAAGAGAAGGCCACACTGAAAATGACTGCCTAAAAATGTGGCAAGAGGCACTCCAAACTATTACCCCTGATATGTGGAAGAACTCCGTTAGACATACAGAGGAGATAATTATGAAATGGTATAGAAGGGAACAAGTAATGGATAGACAGGAAATTCTCCCCCTTATTATCCATGTTAACGATGACTCTACTGATTCCAGTGATTCAGAATAGTTAAAACATCAAAATATATTCTGTATAATGTAATCAAACTCCGGAATTGATATACAACTAAACCATACCATGCGGTTAATATCAGGCTCGATAAAGAGTACTCCTTGCCGCTAGTTGCCGGTATTGTGTAACATCGCATCACCCGAGTTCTTTCTTCTCTTTGATGTGAATTGAAAAAGTGTTGTAGTTCCCATATCATAAATAAATAATCAAATTAATTAAAATACGAGAAAACAATTCATGTTCTTTAAATATTTTGTGTTTTTGAATATCTACCAAATCAGGTGTTTTTATTCAGAAAGGAATTTAATTTTACAACAAGTTTATTTATTTTTAATATAATGGTATTATAGTAAATGGTAGGTATATATAAACAATTTATTTTATTAAATTTATTTGCTTAAAAGAAAATGTGCAAATTCTGGCAACAGCGCACAGCTCCAGATCGATGACGTGCATCGGGTTTTATTTGGTATCCACTATAAGTGGCTTACGCTTGTTGTTGCTTATGTTGCGATATCAGAGAAGCCCGACAATTTTTTGAAGCAATCGGCGAATGATTTAAATAATGTATTTACTATATATGAAGAATGCGTCCATTAAATGTCAATTTGGCGTCAAAAATAATCCAATTCCATGGAAGTCGAGCTCCACTCTAGCAGGTTGCCGTCAATGTTATAACTATCGTATACTTTAGGATGTAGTCTTCTAGTAACTGACATAACCTTGCATTTTGAAATATTAATATTAAGTTGATTGCTAGAGCCGCATGAGTAGATATACTAAGTGACATATAAATCCGAACACCCAGTTCAAATGGTTTTATTTTAATAAAAGTTGTTGAACGTATTTATCTTACTGTATATAACAAGTGAAAAAATTTTCAGCCTTATCAGTTGGACATTCCGGTTTTTATACTGCTTTTTTTTTAATTCACTAACGCTTTAAAAATGAATATTTCAGCCGCAGTAAAGAATCAACGCTGGCGGATTTTGGTTCTTGACATCCTTTACGATCGGTTACGATGCCTAGAGTACGGAGACCTGTACGATTTCGTCAACTTAGAGAGTTTGATAGGGGCCGTATAGTGGGACTTCGGGAAGCTGGACTTTCTTTTCGGGCAATTGCAGTTAGAGTGCAAAGAAGTGTAGACACTGTGGTTAGGTGTTGTCAGGCATGGCTTCGAGAAGGCCGTACGCAAATAGCAAGGGGCTCTGGAGGCCGCCGTAGAACAACAGACCGTGAAGATCGCCGGCTAAGATTATTGGCCTTAAGGGACCGTTTCTCCACTACCAGGTCCATTGCAAATGAATTGTTTACAGAACACGGAAGACCTATTGGCATGCGAAGTGTTTACCGACGAATGAGAAGTTTTGGCTTGTTTTCATACCGGCCACACTGGGTCCTTCCTTTAACTCGAGAACACCGACGTAATCGCCTTGAGTGGTGCAGACAACGGTCACTCTGGGATCAGGAATGGAACAGTATTGTCTTTAGTGACGAGTCTCGATTTTGTTTAGGCATGCACGATGTCGTGACAGGGTTAGAAGGCGACGTGGTGAAAGGAGGAATCCACAGTTTTTTGTTGAGAGACATGTAAATCACACTGTTGGAGTTATGGTTTGGGGTGCTATAGCTTATGGTTCCAGGTCACCTTTAATCTTCATCAGAGGTAACATGAACGCGCAGCGTTATATCCACGAAGTTCTAGAACCCCATCTTTTACCCTATCTTGACTCCCTGGCAGATCCAACTTTCCAACAAGATAATGCCCGACCACATGTTGCAAGAGTCACAATAGACTTCTTTCAACATAATGATGTCACATTGTTACCATGGCCACCAAGATCTCCCGACTTATCCCCAATTGAGCACGTGTGGGATATGATGGGTAGGAGATTACTCAATTTGCAACGTCCTCCTCAGACTCTAGAAGCACTTCAAGAGGAGTTGGTGGTTGCCTGGAATGAGATACCACAGGAGGACATTGACCACCTGATCAGAAGCATGCCTAAGCGCGTTGGAGAATGCGTAGCACATCAGGGTGCATCCACAC